AAATCACAAAATCAGCCGGGTGTGGTAGCGCATGCCTGTAATTCCGGCTACTCGGAAGGCTGAGGCGGAAGGATCGCCGGAGCCCAGCAGGTCGAGGCTGCGGCGGCCGGGAGTGGCCACTGCACTCCAGTCTGGGCGACAGAGTGAGACTCCAACTCAAAAAAATAAATAAATAAAATAAAATAAAATATTGCTATCAGCCGGACTCTGTGGCTCAGCCTGTAACTCCGCGCTTTGGGAGGCTGAGGTGAGTGGATGGCCTGAGCCGGTGGGTTTGAGACCCGCCTAGGCAACTTGCCAAGACCTCATCTCTACAATAAATCAAAAATCAGCTGGGCGTGGTAGCGCGCGGCTGAGTTCCAGCGACTCGGAAGGCTGAGGCGGAAGGATCGCCGGAGCCCAGCGGGTCGAGGCTGCGGTGGCCGGGAGTGGCCGCTGCACTCCAGTCTGGGCGACAGAGTGAGACTCCGACTCAAAAAAAAAAAAAAAAAAAAGTAAAATATTGCTATCATTCGTAATGTCCCTGTGACGTCATTATGTCCAACCCACAGAAGGCTTTCTGTCCCTTTATTTAGGCATTTCCTTCCTTCCTCCAAAAAGGAGCTTGAGGAGGCCTGCAGAGCGATATCAATCACCTGGCCGGAAACTCAGGGAGGGCAAGACTTTCCTGTCATCTTCCTGCACTCCTTTCATTCATTCATTCATCCAGCAAATGTCCACGGAACCCCTACTCTGTCAGGCACGATGAAGCCCCTGCCCAGCAGAGCTTGCGTTCTAGTGGAGAAGCAGACAAGGACAAGCCAATAAGTAAAATACATGGACTGTGAGGCTGGGTGCAGCAACTCCCACCTATAATCCCAGCACTTGGGGAGGCCGAAGTGGGAGGATCCTTTGGGCCCAGGAACTTGAGACCAGCCTGGGAAACATAATGAGACCCTCGTCTCTACAAAGAATAAAAGAAGACATTAGTCAGGTGCGATGGTGTGAGCCTGTAGTCCCAGCTATTTGGGGGGCTTAGGCAGGAACATCGCTTGAGCCCAGGAGTCTGAGGTGTAGTGGGCTGCGACTGCGCCACTGCACTCTAGCCTGAGTGACAGAGCAAGACCCTGTCTCTTTTTTTTTTGAGTCGGAGTCTCACTCTGTCGCCCAGACTGGAGTGCGGTG